CCATGAGGCCGTTTGACTGACATGTCCAACAACCAATCACAGTTCGTTTCGTTTCAGCGTCACGTTTCAGTGCGTGGAAATGTCGCCACAATAACAGACCGGTGTGTAAAACTCTCGGACGTATTTTAAAGATTCTATGCCGCGAACTTTAAATATTTCACATACTTTTGAAAATCCAGCATTTAGTTGATCCTGATAAGTGCTCGTCATCACAGTTGTAAACACGACGGCTTTCTTCTTTCATTAGGGGTTTTGGCGTCACGGCATCATTGTTTCCAGGCGGAACGTTATAGAATGCGACACACACGTCTCCCGGAAATCCTGTATAATTCAACCAATCCGATGACGACTTCGAAACTCCTGAAGTGTTTCCACTTTTGTGTGCCGCTAAATTCACCACAGAGACTTTACTGTTCAAATATAAGTGTCGTGTGTGGAATTCAAATGGGCAAGCGCTGCTTATTATCACTTCAATAGAGCGACGAAAGTGTCGAGCTGCAGTCGTTGTCAGCGCTGTGCTAGTGTGCTGACGATTTGTGCTACCCACTCAGATTGTGCTACCTCCCATTAAAAAGATAGGTAGCACAAATCGATAGCGAAAAATGCTACCTATCAGATTGTGCTACCAGCATCTTATTCATGTGGTTTGAGGCTTTTTTAATGTCCTATTTTTGGTAGCACAATCTGATAGGTAGCATGTTTCATCAGTACAACGGCAGGAGACACCGGTCCGGTGTGGTCCAGCTGTTCTTTTGCGCTGTGCGGTTTATTCAGGTAACTTGGTGCAGTTTCATCACTTGGCTTTTAGTGTTTGTTTCCCATGCGCTACAGTAAAGCTGAGGCGATTAAAAGATGCCCGCAACTCTAGTGTAAATGAGTACAAAGACATTTTTATCGCTCATATCTTTTGGACTGAAATAGCACAGACACTAATATGTGGGGGCGTGGTGGGATTTCGGCAATCGGCACACCGGGAAAAGCTCGGGCGCTCCCGATGGCCAATCAATTCTAGGTCTAATTTCCCTTTCCTCCACAGCCAATCACGTCAGGCCCCCTCAATCCACGGGCTCTGGGGCTTCAGCCCCACCTAGCCCTTATGTTACTCCGGCCCTGCCGAAGGGAACAATTCAGCTGGGTAGGTTTGCGTGAACATTTGCATTGCAAATTCGTCCAGACATTTTCTAAGCTAACAAGTTCAGTGGAGTGCAAAGCTTTAAAATGTATTTTTCAAAAATAATTGTGTACAAAAAGTACAAACACTCTGCATGCAGCAAGTTGTCATATTTACAGCACACAACTGCTAATTTCACCATTGTTGATCTCTGGTTCACTTTCACACCATTTATTGATTATCACCTGTTCCTCTGAAAAAAATAAAGTGAATGTTTTCTGCCCCATACAGACAGTTCTTCAGACGAGTCCATATCTGTTGCTGAAAGAGTCAAACTGGTGAGATTCAGCTGTAACAGGGAAAATGGGTTGAGATACCCACTGAGCAATGTGCATGCACTTACTGATAAATTGTAATAGAATATGAAAAAAATAAGTATTGACATATGAGGGATTAGGGAATATACACTGCTATTCAGAAGTTTGTGGTCAGTAAGATATTTTTTTAATACTTTTATTCAGCAAGGATTAATTAAATTTATAAGTGAATTTAAAAAAAAATTTTTTTCAATATTACATAATATTACAAATGATTTCTAATTCAAATAAATGCTGTTCTTTTGAACTTTCTATTTATCAAAGAAATTGTTTACAAAAGGGGTCAACAACCTTTCAGATCTTTTTTTAATTTTAAATATTTCTGAAGCATTCTTTCATTTTTTTTTTTACTTTTCAAAATCCTAAAAGTTTGTTTATTTTAACATTAAAATAAGCAGCATTGGTCTGAAACGCTTCATATGCGCAGCATTCACGCAAATGGTTTGCCAGAGCCACACACATCTCTAGACTAGCGCAGGTTAATTCTCACACTTTAATAGTATTTATAGCTCTTAACAGGCTGTGTGATTCTGAGGAATGATTACCTCAAAATGTACATCGGTATGCAGTTTTTTTCCCTATTCCTCGCGTGCCAGTGATTATCCCTCTTTGTGCCAACGTTTCCACGCGTGTCATAGGTGGCCAACCCCTGATTTACACAAAACATAAAGCAGCACAACTCTTGTTAACATTGATAATAATAATAATAATAAGAAATGTTTCTTGAGCACCAAATCAGAATATTAAAATGATTTCTGAAGGATCATGTGACACTGAAGACTGGAGTCTCTGTCATCACAGGAATAAATTACATTTTAACATACTGTATATTAAAATATTGTACTTTTAATCAATTAAATGTAGCCTTTGTGAACATAGAAGACTTTCAACAACATTTAAAAACACTTACCGACCCCAAACTTTTGAAGGGCATGCATATGTGTGTGTATGTGTGATTTATTTTTTTTAACATTCCCCCATTATTTCTCACATATCCCCTTTTAGCAGACAAACAGAAAGCATTACTTAAATCTTATGATTTCTTTTCACCACAGAACAGGAGGGAACCTATAAATTTAACTGAAACTGTCAGTAAAACGATCACAGAACATATAGAATCTACTGGGAATGATAGAGGTTAGTGAGATTTATTTCCTTCTATCATGATTAATTTCTCTTAATCTGAGACTTATCCTTTTTAGAATTGATTGATTTTTATTCGACTATGAAGGACCAGTGTTGAACTAAGTGGGTTGGTTAGAATAGGATGACCATTAAATATTCCTATTTAAGTTAAATGTTTAATTAAAAAATTAAATGTTTTAATTCACTATCTTCTACTATATTCTCCAAACCAAGATTCACCTGCTCATCCCACCGATGCTACAAAACCTGCAGTATCTCCTGTCATAGAGGAGCCTGATCAGACCATAGATTTCAGTGAATCACCTGATGAATGGCAGAACCCTGTTGCTTCTGAAGAGACTGAGAAGACAGGCCAGATGCAGCTATTTGAATTTCTGGAAAATCAGTTTAATACCATTAACAACACCCTACAATCAATTGATTTGTCTTTGAAGAAGCTGGTGGAAAAACAGACAGAAGACACACTGCCTCAATACATCAGTCTAACTCCTGCTGTTATTGAAAATCCCCAGATTCACTCCTCAGTCAAGGAGGAGCAAATCACGGAAGTTGTAATGACATGATTAAAAACATGAGTGAAAAACTAAGGTCTGAGATTAAACAAAGATAGGGTCAATACTGATGAGAGGAAGAAATAGAACTGTGGTCTAAGATGTTATGAATTTAAAAATACATGTAAGGTATCCACCTTTTTCTTCCTGTAAAAATGGGCGCGGCCATTTGTAAATTCTATGGGTCTGGTTTCCGGTCTCATCCAAGTCCAGCTATTTTTAGCTGTACAGAACCGCTCGTTTTGCGGCTTTATATTGAAAATTGGTGTGTCTTACCATATTATTTGAATGTGTTGTCTTAATTACAAAAACACTGGTTTATAATGCAAACGGTTTTACCGCTTACTGCACGTTGTTATTCTTCTAGTTATTTCCCTATAGCGGCTAATGAACCCGGAAGTCTTGCCCATAGGCTTACTTCCGCGTTGAAGAAAAAGGTGGATATCCATAGGTATGAATAGATGCCCCATTCGACCGTTCCAAGCATGTAGACGCGTCCGTCATGTTGTAACGGTCAACTTGACATCATTCACCATACTATGGTTTCGCAGACCATTGGCTGTGCAGGATTGTGCCATCTTTGAATATTCATTGATTACTATGGTGAATGACCAAAGAAGGCAAGCCTGCAATCTTTAGCCAAAAAAAGCATAACGGCTAAAACTAACGCTGTAGCGCAGGAAAGGAGACCAGACGCTGTTTTTTAAAATTGTTGTCAATGGAGGAGAGGCTTCACTACGCTGAATAAACAGCTTTTTTGAGGAAATAGCTTATCATTTATTGAATCAACAGCCTATCGGCTAATCTAAACAATAGTTTTTGTTTGAACTATTTTTAGAGTTTAAACCGAAAAAATGGTGTTTTATAAAAGAAGTCAATGACATATTGCAACAGGTGGGATTCAGCTGACGGCACTTCCCATTCATTCCTATTCTTAAATGCCAATTGAGTGTCGCACAACTCACTGAAAGTCAGTGACGTCAAGGCTGTAATGTGATTGGTTATTAAGGCACACGTGATCCAAGTTGACCGTTACGCTTTCTCCAATAGTAAGTAATACAGACCCTCTAATCTCCCAATAGTAAGACAATCTCTGGAATGAGGTCAAGTTGACCATTACAATATGGCCAATAGAAACAGTCGCTAATGAGGCATCTACATATACATATCTATGGGTGTATCTACGTTAGTAACAACAATAAATATAATAGGTTCTATTTAATGTGCAAAAGCTCAGAAAATGAATGGCATATCACTTAATCATTTACAGTTACAAACAAAATTACAACATGAAAATAGAGCAGTTTAAATAGTTTCAGTTTACATTTCAGTTTCATTTCTGTGTCAGTGTGTATATGAAGCAAGTACAGTAGATCAAAGTCCCTGTATCCATGTAATGAAGGGGAGGAGTTGTTCTGTTGTTCTCTCATTCCTTCCTGACAAATTCCTTTTCTAGTTTTCTGTTTACCACCTCATATAAGTCATATTCTGAAACTGGCTTAGCATTCCCAAATTAAATTCTAAAATGATGTGCAAGTATGTGTTTCTCTTCATTTTTTATTTTTGTAAGTGATCAAGGAGAGATCACTTACACCTGCTGCAAGGTGTGGTTAGGTGGAGCAGAAGGAGATTATGCCATGTTTAAATGTAGGCATATTTACGTAAGAGAGAGAGGAAACAAGGAATAGAAGTGATGAAAGCTATGACATGAAATTTAAAATAAATAAAAACAAAAATAAAATGACTTCCAGGTGCCCAGATACTCTGAGTTCATATCTCAGCCGATGTGGCTGGACAGAATAAAGCAGAAGTTGGAAAGTGGAGAGTATCAGATGGTAGGAGTGTTCATCTCTGACTTATTATAAATTATTAATTAATTATTATTAAATTATTATTAATTATAAATTAGTTATCTCTGACTTTCAGCTCATTTTCTGGAACTGCAGCACGTTCAATAGGGTAAGATTCACTGAAACATGTTGCAGAATAAATAAATCACCCAAAAATCAAGAGCTTGTTTTTTTTTGTATATTATATTTATTGTGGTATTTTTGCATTTTCAGACCCATAAACAGTACAATCACAAGACAGGACAAAACACAACTACACAAACAAGAAGGAAAAAGAAGAAAAAAAAAAAAGAAAAAAAAACTCCTTCAATTAAATTCAGTTTAGCAGATAACCACATCACCAAGTAGAGGCAAAGGGGTTCAAAGCAACTTTTTGCACAATATGAAATCATAGACAAGGTGAAATAATATTGTACTAATAACAATTATAAAATAATAATAATAATAATAATAGGTAACAACCTAAGCCTTTTTAACCTCAAGAGCTTGTTAAAATGAAGTTGTTTTGCCGAGATGATTAACTTCACAAGAGGACATGTGGTTTTTGAAAGATTTATTTATTTAATATTTTATTTGTTATTTTGTTCTCTTGCTCTCTAAAGGACAATGAGTTTGGCCAAATGGGTGCCAGGCTGAAGCAAATGTTTGAGTTCCAGAAAATCTTCAGTATCCAATAACAGCTCTTTTACAAGTCTTTCAAAGATACAATCTGGGTAGCTTTGAATATTTATTAGATCTCATTATAATGTATGTAAGTAAATTTTTAATTTTTCAGTCATGCAAAGACGAGCAATTTGGACAATGAATGAATGCTGTATATGACATAGTTCAAGGATGCTCAGATCTGGCTCATGAGATCAACTTTCCTGCAGAGTTTAGCTCTAACCCTAATCAAAAACACCTGAGCATGCTAATTAGTATCTTCAGAATCATTAGAAAATCACACAGCCATGGCCAAAAGTTTTGAGAATGAAACGAATGTTAATTTTCACAAAGTCTGCTGCCTCAGTTTTTATGATAGCAATTTGCATATACTCCAGAATGTTATGAAGAGTGATCAGATGAATTGCAATTAATTGCAAATTCCCTCTTCGCCATGAAAATTAACTTAAAGGGGTCATATGATGCTTTTTTAAAGATCATTATTTTGTGTATTTGGTGTAACAGAATATGTTGACATGCTTTAATGTTCAAAAAACACATTATTTTTCAAATACTGTACATTATTGTAGGTCCTCTATGCCCCGCCTCTCTCAAACGCTTTGTTTTCTACAAAGTCCCTCCTTCCGCCAAGCGCAGTCTGCTCTGATTGGCCAGCTGACCCAGTGCATTGTGATTGGCCGAACACTGCCAGCACTCGTTGGAAATGTAACGCCCCTTACCATAATCGCAAGCTTCATCTTTCAAGATAAATGTAAAGACAGAGCCCGAAAGGGGAACAGAGTCGCGTGACAGACACAGTGATGAAGTTGGTATGTGTTTGCAGTACACAAGCCATGGTTAAGACATCTAACTCTGTGATGTGACCCTGTCTCTGTCTCTCTCTCTCTCTCTCACACACACACACATGCGCGTGCACGCACACACACATGATGCGCAAAACTCAGTAGTAGCAAATACTTAAACTAATAACAAAACAGTAGCTGATTCAGAAGCGCCAGATTGTCATAGCAAAGTCAGAATTACCTCCTCTCCTAGGTTCACGAAACGGTCGTCCATAAAATGCATTGCTGTTCTGTTGTAAGTAATCTTAAAGATTCCTAAATGCATCTACTTTCGGAAGGCCAAATAAAGTGGTGCTTAAAATCATTGTTCTTCCTCTGTTAATTATGGTTATTTGCAAGGAAACACGTGCAGTTATCATTGCTTTGCACAAAAAAGGATTCACAGGCAAGGATAATGCTGCAAGTAAGATTGCACCTATATCAATCATTTATCGGATCATCAAGAACTTCAAGGGGAGAGGTTCAATTGGTGTGAAGGCTTCAGGGCGCCCAAGAAAGTCCAGCAAGTGCCAGGAACGTCTCCTAAAGTTGATTTAGCTGTGGGATCGGGGCATCACAAGTGCAGAGCTTGCTCAGGAATGGCAGCAGGCAGGTGTGAGTGCATCTGCATGCACAGTGAGACGAAGACTTTTGGAGGATGGCCTAGTGTCAAGAAGGGCAGCAAAGAACCCACTTCTCTCCAGGAAAAACATCAGGGAAAGACTGATATTCTCCAAAAGGTACAAGGATTGGATTGCTGAGGACTGGGGTAAAGTCATTTTCGCTGATGAATCCCTTTCTGGTTGTTTGGGGTATCTGGAATAAAGCTTGTCCGGAGAAGAAAAGGTGAGCGCTACCATCAGACCTGTGTTATGCCAACAGTGAAACATCCTGAAACCATTCATGTGTGGGGTTGCTTCTCAGCCAAGGGAGTGGGCTCAATCACAATTTTGCCTAAGAACACCGCCATGAATAAAGAATGGTATAAAAACATCCTCCGAGAGCAACTTCTCCCAACCATCCAAGAACAGTTTGGTAATGAGCAATGCCTTTTCCAGCATGATGGAGCACCTTGCCATAAGGCAAAGTGGCTCGGGGAACAAAACATCGAAATTTTGGGTCCATGGCCAGGAAACTCCCCAGACCTTAATCCCATTGAGAACTTGTGGTCAATCCTCAAGAGGCGGGTGGACAATCAAAAACCCACAAATTCTGACAAACTCCAAGCATTGAATATGCAAGAATGGGCTGCCATCAATCAGGATGTGGCCCAGAAATTGATTGACAGCATGCCAGGGTGAATTGCAGAGGTCTTGAAAAAGAAGGGTCAACACTGCAAATATTGAGTCTTTGCATAAATTTGTTTAAACTTAATAAAAGCCTTTGGCACTTATGAAATTCTTGTAATTATACTTCAGTATACAATATTAACATCTGACAAAAAGATCTAAAAACACAGAAGCAGCAGACTTTGTGAAAATTAATATTTGTGTCATTCTCAAAACTTTTGGCCACGGCTGTAGGTGAGTTTGATCAGGGTTGGAGCTAAACTCTGCAGCACCTTGGCTCTCCAGGGCAAAATTTGAGGAAGCCTGACTTAGTCCATGAACTCAAATCAAGAGGCAACCTGATCAAGAGTCGTAAATATCAAACATGCTTGATATTTATGACTATCTTG